CACCAAGCGCTGCCCTCTCTGTCTGCGTGAGAAGCTAGAGATCTTGCATGCTGACAGAAGGGTGAACATCAACAAGTGATCAGAGCTAGTGGCCAAGTGCAGACATGAGAACAAATTCTACCTACCGGTATCTAACTTCACACCTCCAGTTACATAAACCAGGATTACACCTGATGTCTGGCGCTGATCTTGCAAGTACATGCATAGAATCACCACTTGACCTTATTTGCGCTTAATTAAAGGGGAAGTATACCCTAAAATCAAATTTTCACCAGTTGTAGTCTTCTGGGTGCTGAGTCGAATGGTCTTGGTCCGAGGAAGCTGCGACGCTCCCTTCCTACTTGAATCCCAATCGAACTCGCGCACTTCCACCGAAACTGGGTGACTGCGCCCTACTAGATGGGGATTTGTATGCAAAATGTCACTAAAAGCGCCATTTCGTTCTTATAAAAGCACGGATGACCGCGATTGGCCCATATGTTGTAGTCTTTTGGACGCTGAGTCGACTGGTTTTGGTCCCAAAAGGCTGCGATGCAGCTTTCCTCCTTTATTCCCAATCGAACATGGTTGAACAAGCGGTCACGTGCTCCTGGGTGCCCAAATCACCTGGTCACCACGCCAGCAGGCGACAAATTTCACACCAAGGTTCAACTCGAGTGACAGGAGTGCACCCAAAAAAGGTCAAACAGGCTAGTAAGTTGTACCCTGCAGGCACGGTGACCAGGTGACTGGTGTACGCAGGAGCACGTGACCGCTTGTTCAACCATGTTCGATTGGGAATAAAGGAGGAACGCTACATCGCAGCCTTTTCGGACCAAAACCAGTCGACTCAGCGTCCAAAAGACTACAACATATGGGCCAATCGCGGTCATCCGTGCTTTTATAAGAACGAAATGGCGCTTTTAGTGACATTTTGCATACAAATCCCCATCTAGTAGGGCGCAGTCACCCAGTTTCGGTGGAAGTGCGCGAGTTCGATTGGGATTCAAGTAGGAAGGGGGCGTCTCAGCTTCCTCGGACCAAGACCATTCGACTCAGCACCCCGAAGACTACAACTGGTGAAAATTTGATTTTAGGGTATACTTCCCCTTTAAAGGGAAACTGAACGCCAAAAATAAGTATGGCTTATCCGAAGGAGAATTGGGCACTGATTCCGATGAGCTATGTCTCGAGCCGATCAGAGAAGAGGAACTGTGTCAAATTTCATAAATAACACCTCCCATATTTGGAAATTGGCCTTGATGACGTGCGTACTGCTTAGCTGTCACCATGCTGTGCATGTTCAGCAGTGTAATTGAATGGAAGAAAACAATAATTACTTTGGTGTTTTGCAGCTCTGTTTCGTTCCCTGACGGTTACCAAATCTAGATGTAGGCCCTGAATCTGTTGAGCAGGAGAGTGACACATGTCTTCCCGAAGGCTGTCCAGGCTGCAGTGGTGATGAAGAAGACACGATCATCACCCCGAGATCGATTGTAGCGAATTGGAAAACTCATGGTGAATTTGCTTCCACTCCAAGGCAATGTCGAGGTATGAAGGGTGCTTGTACTGCCTTCCAAAGTGAAGAGGAGATGAACATGGCTTTGCATAGCTGTTGTTCTATGCCAACTTACCTACTCTTGCTGGTACCGTAGTGGCATATTGCAAATTTCGTGGACGAACAACTCTAGTCACTAGTGGCTAGTGAGCAACACTAACAGGTGAGATTTTTCAATTCGACAAAAATTGTTTTTGTTTGAGAACTGACAGTGGCAGTCATTAGACTCAGTAGGTGTCTCTCTGCTGCTTCTTTCCCTTCATCGGTAGGGTTGTGCTTGAAGTAAAAATAAATAGAAAATGTGGAACAAAATCTGATCATGTAATTCGAATTTGACCTTCAAAGTATGTGTACATCAAATCACAAAAATGACTGTCAAGGTAGTGCTGTGCATTGAAAAAGACTGGGAGCTGGCAGCAATGGAAAGGGTAGAAACGAAATCAGTAATGCAGAGTATTCATAAGGTAGAGGGAGATGAAAACGGGAGAGGAGTAGTGAGCACTTCAGTTTGAAGTAGTGTCAATAGACAGCATCGTGTTGCATACGTTGTGAATATTGTGTGAATCTAATAATTGGCGGAGGGTAGTGATTAGGCAGAGTATTGTTACAACACAAGGTACTTTGTGAGCAGATAGCAATCAATATCATGGCATGGTTTAGACAGGAACTCATAAATGTCACGAAATTGATATCCAAAATTATTATCCCCTGAGTAGTATTATGGTGTTCTCCTGTGTTTACATGCAGAGCCTTGACGTTGCTGGACGAGCGACAATATAAATTACATAAACATGTAGCTCGTGATGTGGGATGACTGCCGTATCGCATTGCCAACGCAAACCCATCCTGTGTCAGTGCAGCCATCCAGCAACTTGAACTCCCCGGACCAGATGCCGCTGCAGCTGAACACCATGCCGATGGAAAGCCAGGAGTTGATAGCGAAGCATTCTGGTCTGCACAGTACAAGGCAAAGAACAATTATGAATTATAATGCATTGTAATCTTTCCCACACTTCTTTGTAAAAACAAACAAACAGTGCCATTATCACAACACTTGATCAAGCATCTTGATGGAGGTATTTTCCATTGTGCTGGCTCAGCATCTGCACCAAGAAGACCATGTACACTTACACGTATCTTGTGTGTGTGTGTTCGTGCGTGTGTGTTTGTGTATCTGTATGTGCACACGTGTGTGGGGGGGGGGGGGCACGCACATGTGTATGGGTAGGAGTGTGTGTGTGTGGGGGGGGGGGGGGTACACGCACGTGTGTATGGATGTGCGCGCTGCATGCGTGTGTCTGTGGGATGGGGTGGGGGTGCACACGCATGTCTACATGTGTGTGCGCAATACAGCATGTGTGTATGTGTTCGTTGAACACAGGGTGTACTCCTGATTACATAAACTTTGTGATCATTGTGATTTAATGTGCTTTGAAGTTGAACTTCGCAATACATGTACTGATGCTTGATTAGATTTATGTTCCACATGTTCTATTTATTTTATTTTACTTCAAGCACTTGTACTATTCAAGCACAGCCCTACCAACGAAGGGAAAGATGCAGCAGAGAGACATCTACTGAGTCTAATGACTGCCACTGTCAGTTCTCAAACAAAAACAATTTTTGTCGAATTGAAAAATCTCACCTGTTAGTGTTGCTCACTAGCCACTAGTGACTAGAGTTGTTCGTCCACGAAATTTGCAATATGCCACTAAGGTACCAGCAAGAGTAGGTAAGTTGGCATAGAACAACAGCTATGCAAAGCCATGTTCATCTCCTCTTCACTTTGGAAGGCAGTACAAGCACCCTTCATACCTCGACATTGCCTTGGAGTGGAAGCAAATTCACCATGAGTTTTCCAATTCGCTACAATCGATCTCGGGGTGATGATCGTGTCTTCTTCATCACCACTGCAGCCTGGACAGCCTTCGGGAAGACATGTGTCACTCTCCTGCTCAACAGATTCAGGGCCTACATCTAGATTTGGTAACCGTCAGGGAACGAAACAGAGCTGCAAAACACCAAAGTAATTATTGTTTTCTTCCATTCAATTACACTGCTGAACATGCACAGCATGGTGACAGCTAAGCAGTACGCACGTCATCAAGGCCAATTTCCAAATATGGGAGGTGTTATTTATGAAATTTGACACAGTTCCTCTTCTCTGATCGGCTCGAGACATAGCTCATCGGAATCAGTGCCCAATTCTCCTTCGGATAAGCCATACTTATTTTTGGCGTTCAGTTTCCCAGCATTGAGTTTTTGTAATCATTGCTGTCTGATGATCGCCACAGGCGTGAAACTCTGAGTCACAGCCACCCCAAGCTCCGTATCCCATTCTATTCTTTTTGTATTAGTATCCTATAATAATAATTCCTATTCTCTTACTATGTGCTTCCATAGCCTTTACTATGTTCTTCCATAGCCACTTCTAGGCTAAGCCTTCGCCGTCATTTTATTGGGTCGTCATCCCGTTTGAATGTGAGAAGTGAAATAAAAACCAACCAACCAAGTCTACCCTCAAGGAAACTAACCCATAAACGTGTCGAGACCCGGAAGCGCGCAAACCAGCAGCGATGACGGTTGGCGCCTAACTAAAAAGATATTGTACATGCACCGTGTTACATAATGCATAGAAGGCCGGCAGCCCATGGCCCTTTGGGGACACCGACATAAATAATAATATTATATAAGAATGGCTCATGATTACAAGTACTATTAGGAGACAGTGGGAGCGACGTTGGCGATGATTTCGTAGGGGAAAGTGTTTGCTCCCAACACCGGAGCTCGCACTTTCCCGCTGACTTGACTCACGGCTCCCATCCAGAGCACACGAGAAGACCGTCTTACTTTGAAAGTTTCGACTCGGCGGACCTGCAAGACTCTCTGCTCAATGCATAGTCACAGTGTTTCTGGGGAATTCACCCCTCATCCGTTGAGCTTGCGTGAGTAGGATGAGGAAGATACGTAGTGTCTGAAGAGCACCACCTGTACATAAATAGTGCTCTCTCAACACGAATAGATCGAGAACAAGCCAGGTTAGCGATGATGTCACTCACACAACCTCCACCACACACACTGGGCCCAGTGCAGTGGGGCCATCTTGAATAGCCAGTGTGCTGTCTGGTGATCACTGATTGTGTGTGGGACTGGAGAGCTTGCGCCTGGGTACAGCCGGACAGCATCCAATCTTTTGTCAGCTACCCGGGCTCCATACATGCATACATGCATTCGTAGCACATAAGTTATAACGTTAAGAACCCAGCACATATTCTAATTATGACAAAGTCATGTTTACATGCACCACAAAGGCACAATATCAAGTATCAGATTGAGCCCGTGAAAACGTCACGCCCTGCAACGGCTGTGACAGAATAGCCACACAATATTGCCGTGATGCTTCTCTATAGCTGCACTGACTGTACATGCATTGGTGGTGAGTAGTTCACCGAGTGCCTTCAAGTACAACCCGTAACAGTCCTACTCCAAGTTCAAGGAAACACAGTTGTATGTGTATGAGCAAAAAATTAAAAAGAAGAAGCAAAACCAGGCTGCAAGCCAAACTGCTCATAAAATATTATAAATAAACAGAATTGTGATGGTCTGCATGCACTGTGACAGTGCTCGGCAGAAGCTCTAGAACAGTGGCATAGCACGACTGCGGGGTGATGGCATGGCCAGAAATCAGGATCATTCCGCTATATTTTCAACGCAAGAACACTGCATTACTATTGTGGGCTGATGATATGAGTGCCGAGGAGCTCAGCCAGCAGGGACCCACTTCAAGTGAATCCCGAGCAACACACAGTCATGATTTCTCATTTTAGTTTACACAGTGCCAGGATGGGGTGTTCTGACATAGTGCCAGGATGGGGTGTTCTGACATAGTGCCAGGATGGGGTGTTCTGACATAGTGCCAGGATGGGGTGTTCTGACATAGTGCCAGGATGGGGTGTTCTGACATAGTGCCAGGATGGGGTGTTCTGACATAGTGCCAGGATGGGGTGTTCTTATCACGTGTAACTAATACTGACTGTGATCTCCCTCAGTGTTTGCTTGATAGGCCATTGTGGAAATATAATATTTGCAAGTGCATTGTAGCAGCAACATTAAGTTGAAACTACCTTAAGCCGTCACACAAAGGCTTTAAATTTTTTTTAAATGCTCAGGTTAATTCACTGATATACTGGTGCTGATTGGCGCCAACGCAAAAAAGTTCCTATAATTTTTAAGCGGAAGGAGAATAACAATAGCAACGCCCTTGGCCAGTCAATATGCACATGATGTGCAAAGTGACCCTTGTGTACCCATGGATGAAATGGGCTTCATAGCCTCATGGAAGCATCATTGTTGTACGGCGCCCACTCCGGCGAGTCAGCTCCAGTCCCTACCATATTGACCAGTGTACATTGCACATGACAACACTTAGCTCACGGTCAGAGGATCAAGCACGCAGCAGAGGAGGCTTGGTTTCGTGACGGTCTCCGCGAGTCTTCTCCCTGTGCTAAGGCCATGGATCCAGTGGTACGCTTACTCTTGCGTGTCTTCCAGAACCTTAACTACAACAGCAGCAAAATGATTCCAAAACACAGACCCCACCACGGCATGAGTACTACACACAATACATGTTCAATATAATTATGCACATGCGTACCTCACGAACGCTTACTAAACACACATTGCTTTTTTGGATCTCATCTACTCTTGGGGCCACACGGGGTAGCACTGGGGCAGAGCAGTACGCCGTAAGCATCGATAATTGATATTGCGGTGGCATGACTGGGTCAGACTGGCATCTGTTGGCCATACTGGGAGTCCCAGTGGCATGACTGGGTCAGACTGGCATCTGTTGGCCATACTGGGAGTCCCAATGGCATGACTGGGTCAGACTGGTATCTGTGGGCCATACTGGGAGTCCCAATGGCATGACTGGGTCAGACTGGTATCTGTGGTAGTGTGGGCCATACTGGCCCCGCTCAGTACACATACACGTATGTCAACCAACAGCATGTGTCATTCAACCACCAGGAAGAGCTACGTCATTCAACCACCAGGAAGAGCTACGTCATTCAACCACCAGGAAGAGCTACCTCCTCCATGTTGGAAGCAGCCACTTACGTTAACATCTAGTGTTGAGGGAGTTGGGAAGGTATTTTAACATGATAGGAAAATTCCCCGGGGTTTAAAATGTTTTGTCTTATAACTAGTATTATCTACTACGCGGACTTGCATGTACGGAAGATAACTGCATTTCAGGCATCAAGAGATTTGGGATCACTGCCACTCTACTAATGAGGCTTGTCCAGGGAGTCATAAATTTACGACTCCCAGGGCTTGTCTTGCAACCATGTCATACTAACCAGGGTAGACAGGCGGTAGTACAAGACTGGGCCATGACGCGAGCGAGAGCAAAACTACATCTACCCATGCCTTTCTTTTTTTTAAAGTTAAAGAAAACCCAAACAGCCACAGCCCAATCAGGGCCAAACTGACTTCCATTTTGAGAATGGCTTTTATTAAAAGTTTCTGAACAGCCAATATTAAATTTTGTTGATTTACACTCGCCCAAATGACACCACCCAGCCCGCACCTGCACGTATCGCAGGTGAGGATGAACGAATGTATCAGGGTGATCAGGTACTAGATTCTTTGTAAATCTTGTTTGTAACCTGTGCCTGTAGATGTGATCTCATAAGCACACAACATTATAGCAAAGAAAAGAACTCTCAAAATGCTCACTTCTACTCGACTCGGAGAAAAATAAATTGGATTCCGATTAGCGTGATTTTAGCCATTCGGGTGGCACCTGATTCACTTTCTGGGTGTATTCGATCCCTATAGAATTGGCCAGTGATGCGAACAGGGTCTTACCTTTCGCCAATGCGAACCGGCCTTGCTTCTCCTCTCAGGCAGGCAGTTTCTCGCAGCCGGTGGACTCGTGACCAGGGGGACATTCTGGACCCGGGGGACATTTTGGACCCGGGGGGCACTCGTGACCAGGGGGACAACTGAAGAAAGAGTACTACCCGCACGAGCCACACGTGCTGTTCTGCTTATATGGGCAGATTTGGTGGCACTCCAGTCGTCATCTTCGCAGTCTATCGATAGCTTGGTGGAGATGACGAGCGGCTCCGAGTCGAACACGTCGATTCTGCCATCTTCAAACACTTCACTGGCATCGTCCGACGTGATGCGAACACACTCATAGGCGGGGCGATAACCTCCACATGTCGGAGCTTCAAAGACCACGTTGCTGAAGTCGCTCCCGGAACCCTCGTATCCTGGACAGTACGGTGCTGAGGTGAGATACATTAATTTCTTGCGATAGAACACTCCCCCTAGTACATTGCATCCAACACACACGCACACAAACACACATACACACAGGCACACAGACATACAGACATACATACATACAGCCACACATGCACACACATACACACACATACACACAGACACACACACACACACACACACACACACACACACACACAGACACACAGACACACACACACACACACACAGAGCGTAACACCAAACAATGTAAGCCCGTGTGGCGTTCTTCCCAGAGTACACACGCGTGCACACTCCAAGAAACACTATTTCAGGCTCAGGGCTGTTCATATTACTACAAGTTAACCAAATCAGTTTTCCATGCGTGATCCAACACAGTTTCTGCAAACGGCCAATGAAGTAAATTTACTAAGTTACATAAGCATCTAGCCCTCGATATGAAAGCAATCAACTAGATAATTATAATGATAAAAAGAGAAAAGGGAGGACCATAAGTTTACAAGTTATCCGTTCTTATGGTCCTCTCTTTTTTATTTTAAGGACAACATATTACGAGTTTTGACTAATTACGGAGGATTAGCAAGACGAAATTCGCGTTCGCAAACATTTTCAGTTCACGAACTGGATTGCGAACTTTCGCATTTTTTGTTCGGAAAAGTAGTCGGAACACGAATCGCGGATTCGTGTCAGGGCAGTCATAAATTTACCACACTGTACTGTCTGTACACAATTATGTACGTCGTGTCAACGACTTCGTCAGACCTCATGCATGTGCGAATTCTGTTTGCTAATCCTTCTCATAACGCGAATTCCGCCACGGAGTTCGACTTTCCTTGGAGTGCGAACGCGAACGCGAATTTCGTCTTGCTAATCCTCCGTACTGTCCCTCTCTTTTTTACCATAATATATTGGCTCACCATCCGAGATAATTATCTGATAGGAAAAAGACACATGTCCGGCGACAGTTCAGTACCTCTAGGAGCCATAACATAATACAGGTCGTCCCCCGTTAATACGAGTCCGGTTAGTACATAAACCCCGTTAGTACATAAGAAATCTCAAGTCCCGGACGAAACGTGGTCACTTCCATACAAATTTTGTCGGTTAGTACATAATTCGTTAGTACATAAACCCCGTTAGTACATAACATTTCTCCGTACCCGCATGCCACCTACCTCAATAGTACATAATTTGTTGGTTTTTTGGCCTTCCTGTTGAAGCACATCGTGTTCTAGTTTCTACTTGTGGATGCAATTAGCTCAGAAATCAGAGCGCACATCACAAACCGACAAAGCTCTGTTTTTTTTCGAGTGACTATACAGGCGCGGCTGGGCATGTATCATGCAAACTGTAGAATCTTCGCTAACTGTGACCGGTATAACATAATTTTATGTTATATCGAGGGAATCAAGAATATCTCGCTGCCTAGTCATGGTAGCAAGAAACACTCAGAAAAGTAGAAAAAAGTGAAAAATTCTGGTACACAAGCAAGTTATGTACACTTTCGTTTAGTACATAAACCCCGTTAATACATAACATTTGTCAAGTCCCAGAGATTATGTATTAACGAGGGACGACCTGTAGTACTTTACGGCTAACGTACTCAATATCCGAGTTTTGTTGTTATAGCGTGTGTTGTGAATGTCACCAGAACAGGTAACATAGGTTCCTGGCTGCTGCCATGGAAGCCAACATGACTGGTCTCGAGTGTCTTCTTGCGCAAAATTCACGAGCTGCAGTGCAATGTATTTGTTTGATACCGTAGAATCCCGCGGATAAGCCCATGGGCTTATCTGTTTCACAAGGACATTTCGGTGGGCTTATACGAGAACATGGGCTTATACGCGGGCATGGGCTTATACGCCGACACCAAGTTGTGCTATTGAAAAGTATCAAGGAAGTGAGAAATACATGCTAAAAACCACTGTGCAAACAAAAACAACCGATGATTGTGCTGAAATATACTAACAAAATAATTAATGTGCATGTACTACGTACATGGTATGGCCAAGAGTCCATAATTTATGGACTCTCGGTGTGACCTAGGCCCATGGGCTCGTACGATGAAGCTTTGTGATGTTCGAACAAACCCTGGGCTTATGCGCGGGCATGGGCTTATACGCGGGTGGGCTTATCCGCGGGATTCTACGGTATCCATGCGTGTACGTTATTGAAAAATCGTCTCATAAACTCATACCGGTAGTGAGTGGGATAGCGGCGACTAGTGCAATGCTGCTGTGACTGCTCCACCTTTCAAGTTACAGCCCGGAACATTCAGAACAAAAGCCAAGTAGCGGTATAGTTGTGGACAGCCGCATGCTAGGGAATAGTCGTGTATTAGACAGTGTGTTATACAGCTCTCTGCGCATACCAACCAATTGTGCATTGTACCGCAACTCTGCAGTCTTTTTGCTTGCTTTCAGATGCACAGATATTTTATCCAATTGAGCTATGAATTCTCGTTCTTCTAAAGCGAGAGTTTGTCTCATCAGTGTTCTTCCCAACGAGGTTTCACTGTATGGATATCGGAGTGCTTTTTTCGCCTCCTCTGCCCAGATTACATTAACATGTTGAGCATCTGACAGCCATAATCCCTAGCACGCATAATTCGGAAATGAGTCTGATTGAGAGCACGTCACTGTGGGCCATTCTTGGGCATGCAAGATCACTGTAAGACTTAGAAAGACTGTGTCGAGTACTCAATAGATGCTCAGCTGCACTCAGGACAGGAGGCTTACCGGTTGCTCGTAGCCGCCACGTACGCAGTGTACGATAGCCAGGACCGTAACAAGCAGTGTAACTGAAGCCGAGGTCATCGCCATATTGATAGTCAGAGTCAGAGCCATACTGATAGGTACCAGCAGCGACATCATTATCAGGGCCGTCTACATCACCACCACCGATGCCACCGCCGCTGCCGCCACCACCACCATCAGCGACGACAACATCACCACCGTCGCCACCATCATGATTGCCATTATCAACATCATCATCATCAGGGACGTCAAAAACATCATCGCCACCATTGCAACCATCATCATTGCCATTATGAACATCATTATCAGGGGCAGCAACAACAACAGCATCACCATCACCATCTTCATCGGCGTTGTTGTCGTCAGCAGCTTTATAATAATCATTATCATCATCATCATCATCATCATCAAAATAGCTAATATCATCACCAACATGGCTGTCGTCGTCATCCGGTTCATAACCCTTATCATCAGCAGCAATAGATCTAACGCCATCATCAGCACAACTGTCGTTCTCATTGCCGTCCTTAATTTCGTCATCCTCATCCCCATTGTCGTAGTCACTGAAGTCGTCGGGGCCATTCGCATACTCACGGTCATCATAAAATGGTTTCTTCTGGGTGCAACTTTCATCATCCCCGTCGCCATCACAATGCTCGTAGTAACCATCAGCAGCATCAGCAGCATCAGCAGCTTCAGCCCCGGCAGCAGCACTTGCATCTCGCCGAGTAGCCACAACCGCAGTGACGAGCCCACCGCACGCAACCTGCAATGCAAAGAGAAATGACATCAGCAGGTGCACGGGAGGAGTGTTACCAAGAATCAGTTGGATGTACACTGAAGACAATGCCTACTTCAGAGCAAAAATATGTTGTGCCAATTTGAAAAGCTGATTTAATTTCCACAATTTTCCAGCTACCTAAAAAATGTCCCCTACATGCTGTTTCCCTCCGTTATCGTCACTGGAGCATGAGCGATCCAGCTTTCCATCATACATCACAACGTCCATGCTGTGGAGGAATCACACAATACAGAACCAACGTGGCTTGCCGCTACATATTGCCGACATGGAATTTCCAAACCAACCCTTGACGAACAATCTTCCGGGATGGTGGATCAGGTGCTTAACTTAATATAAGTTTTTACTGAATGCGGCTTTTTTAAGTTTTTGAGATTGATCTTAATTAAGCCTGTGCACACCATGTCCATGCAATAGCAGCTATGGTCACATGAAGTTGCACAACTGACTGTACTACAACACTCAATCCAAGCCAGAGAAGTTTTCACACTCTACATACCGGAGGGTGTACCCAGTGTGCTGACAGTGCTCAACACCGCGGAGGCAGAGCGTAATACAGAACAGAACAACAAGGACAATCAAGGGTTGTTTGTTTGCTGCGACTTGAAGTTTCATGCTCTCGCAATCATCAGGCAACCCGCACTCTTCATACAACATTTCTCTTTAATAACTCAAGGCTCACCGTGACAAAGTTAGAGGCACAAAGGAGGTTTTAAAAGAGTTCGTCGAAAACGAAACAAAGGAGGCTAACCGGAGTTTGTCGCAACTCCACATTCCTTGCTGAATGCAATCATCATCAGACGACTAGTGACACGTTAAGTGTGACTTGGCCAGTACAATATACTGTACAGGCAGAATTTTCGTCGGTCAATAATTTCGTCCAACTCCAAAGAAAGGGATTTCGTCCGGTTGAAAATTTAGTCCATGGACTATAACAGTGTATTGAAACGCTGGACAAATCGACATTCGTCCGTCATTTCAGTTAATTTAGTCCCAACGCTCCTTGGACGAAAAAGACGAAATTAAATTCCAGACGAATATTTCTGCATGTACAGTAACAGTACGTCAGTGAAGGTTGGTATTGATTCGGTGCAGAAAATTGAGCCCTACAACTTGACAAGGGTTGAAAATGGTTCTACTTAAAAACACCTCGGCCGGCACTGATACAACAACCATGACAAAGACGAGAATGATGAAGAGGATGGCGATGACAACAACAACAACAACAACAACAACAACAACAACAGCAACAGCAGCAGCAGCAGCAGCAGCAGCAGCAGCAGCAGCAGCAGCAGCAGCAACAACAACAACAACAACAACAACAACAACAACAACAACAACAACAACAACAACAACAACAACAACAACAACAGCAACACACCTATCACAGAGACAAATCACCACAACTAAGTTATTGTCAGAAACATCTCATACCATAAAGATATTATCGCCGGGTGCTGGTAACCTTATTCGCTCAAACACACGCGCCGTATCCTTGGAAATGTGTCGTCCCAGCTGACCCGAATGGTTTTCTCCACAACCCAGCAGTTGTCTTCCAATGGACTTCTCTACCAGGACAAAACCAGCAAAGTTATAGTTAGCAAGGGAACAGCTCAGAACTAGCTTCCAAGTAATGTTACTGAGAAGAGACTACCACAAGCCGGTACATGTACATCATGGATAGACAGTTGTCTAAGACTAACAATCACTAGAGTATATGTTGTACATCATGGATATACTTACACATGGTCATCAAGCCCATGAGCAGCTGAATTCAGCCATAATGGGTTGTTGTTGGTGTTGATGTTGTTGTTGAAATTTTATTTTGTATCGCAGACCAAACGGGAAATGGTGCCCAATATTATGATGGCGATAAAGTAACGGGTTCAGCTCCAGATCATGTCCCTGGATTACTAAGCCACATGACCATGTTGGCTCCTCCGCCTACATGTGATGTACTCCATCTTTACCCACGCTCACTCCTACGCCCACCCCCGCGCCCCCACGCACAAGCACATACGGCCACATGCCTCGGATACGAAGCAATTCAACAGGCATGCTGTTGTAGTGCGCTAGAGTTACAGTCGTTTATATAGTCCCTACAAGTTGCCATCACAGTGCTGAAAATCAGAACACCGACTAAAAAGTACCGTACCCGTGACCTAACAGGAAGCGTGGCATGAGCCACTGATATTCACGACTTACGTTTGGAAGTGATGATCGCAGTGTGCCGTCTGCCGCACGACACAGCCTCGATATCGACAGGAGAGCCGTTGACTTCAATCTTTCGTAATTCGCCTTCTCCGACTATCGTGTCGTCCTTGCCCAAACCGATCTGGCCACCTGTGCCATCTCCAAATATATACGCTTCCCCGTGGACTGAAAACAGAAGAAGCAGCACAGATCAAGCATGAAGTCGGGTGCCACATTCCTCACCAGTTGTATGTCGAACCATTCACTCTTCTTGACCACCGTCAGGGAGTGTAGGCAAGCTGCCTGCACATGATTCAAGTTCAATGAAGCTGCGTCAGGCATCCGTAACACACTATCTGAAGTACCGTAACTTAACCCCTTCGTTGAATTATTGGTGTTTGTAATGGCTAGTAAGGGTAGTTGGCTGGGAGCGCATGGAGGAGAAGAGAAGGATCGATTGTTGCATTATGAAAATCAGGGACAGGAGCACAACCGTACTACCACACAATCAGGAGGTGACACAAAGGATTGATTGTTCAACTTTCCAAACCAGGGTTCTAGCCTGGTCAAAATAGGGGGGGGGGGGGGAGTTACCCCATAAGGGCCGTAACCCATTTTTCCATTTTCAAAATATCTGTCTTACAATGCTAAATGCAACGTACGGGGCAAACACCTGACTTCACCCCAGGCAAATGTGCCTTTACGATCCCTCTAGTACAGTATTGATTATTGACTGCATTTTAGTAGAATGGCATGAAAAAAACACAAACATCGGAAAACGAGTAGGGACGGCACTTTTCACAGGGGGGGGGGGGGGCGCAAACAGAGTAGGGGGGGGGGGGGGCTGCGCCCCTAACCCCCTTTGGCTAGAACCCTCCATACCATATGTGGGGATGCCAGAGTACATAACGGCGGCATTTCAAAACTGACCACGCGACGGCATTGTGCAGCGAGGCACACAATAGCAATTTTGCCAATCTGGGCATTTTGATCACTTGCTTCCCATGATATCACTCTGAGTTGCACACAAGGCCGAGTTGACTCTTAGCAAGCTATTAAGTAATGTAATTTCATAATAATTATGAATTTACATTACTTAATTATTATTGCCGCAAGTTTTCTTTGGATAGTCCAGAACTGTGTCAGAAGCAGCATCAGCGCTAGCGGCAGCATTATCTGCAGCAGTAGCAAAAGCAACAGCGACAGCAGCACCAGCAGTAGCAGCAACAGCAGCAACAGCAGCGGCAGCAGTAGCAACACTAGCAGCAGACATCGAAACTGCCCACTCACCATTTACAGCCACCGAATGCTGTAGGCCGCAAGTAACTTTGGCGAGCTGCTCGAAGCCGGTTACGAGACGATAAGCAAACTTTTCTTTGCCAATGTGGAACACACTGGAGTGTCCACATGTGTACAGGTGTCCTCCATCTATGCATGTGTTCATCAGAACAAACACAATGCAGCAGGGGTAACACACAGGAAAGAAGTCCAAAGCGAAAAGGACGCCTATAATTGTAATGTACTCATCTGTTTGAGGGAGTGACAAGGGAAAAAACATCTGTTGAAAAAATGACTCACCACCAGGACCTGAACCAGGAACTGTTGCTATAGGCCAGCGATGCTGTAACCGAGGCTAAGAAACGGTGGAAATCATCTGATATGTACCTGTACTCCGATGACTCAGGGGCGTCGGAAGGTATTCTACCTTGGCGTGGCTATGAAAAGGAGTCCCCCCGGGAAATGTTTTGAAAATCGGGCCCAAATAGCCCATTATTTCATTGCTTCAAAATCACAAGAAAGAAATTATTGATCAGGTTGAGGGAATGGGAAAATGCGAAAAGTCTGAAGTCGACTCCACCAAATTATTGATGTGGATTTGACCGCACCTGCCACACTGGTTTTGATTGCCCGCTAGCCTGGATAACGTAAGTGATCAGATGTAAACTTGCCGCTTAGTACGGACACTGTCAGAGTGCCAGTTTTGGATGAATGGACTAAACATGACACTGGACCAGGCTTATTGCGCACACGGCATGGCCACTTTGCAACACATGGCGTACCATACCTGTTATAACGCAAGTCTGGTATGATCCGCACGCCACGTACTTGATGTTGAAGTCCAATTTAACCTCCCGTGGGACTTCAACAGAGTCAACGTTCTGCGGCAGTGTATTAGGCCAAGAAGGAGAAAAGGACAGAATGACAACAAAGCTTGAGGCAACCGGCACAGATTTAAACATTCCGACATATGGAAGTTGGGAATGCAGCCCGGATGATCACTAACGTATGATTAATGCGCCAGTGTAATGTCACCTACTAAACTACTTTGCACGCAGCTTGAAGGTAAGATAATGTACAGGCTGACAAACTGAACAGCAATACCGTGAGCTAAGTTCACAATCATCTCATGTGACAACCATGCTGCCAGCAGGCGAGCTTTGTGTCACCAACTCGGGCACCTAGCACCCAACTGGTTGGTTTCTAAGCTACTGTCAACTTCCTTCAATGGGATGAACTATTTTTTTTTTCCATTTTTTACCGTAACACTTTTACGAAAAACAGTGCCTCTTTGTTATAGAGAACTTCGGCTGTCAAGACCTTTGGCTGTAGAGAATAGATAGTAAAGAACTACTGGAAATTCTCCTGCGCACTGGTGTTTGTATTGTCAGGAGTCAACTGTACTCACTTGTGGCAGGCCCAGCTGGCCATTTCCGTTATCTCCCCATACGAACAGCTTGCCGCATTCTAGGATGCAAAGACCACAGTTCACAGCAATAGACACATAATAGCATCTACGGTGAAAGGAATAATTTATTTGCTTCTTCTTATTTTGGGAGAATGAAGTTGAAGACACCACTACAGCTGTACTTATGGTTGATAAAATATGGTGGTAAAGACACACCTGGCAATATGGCGGTAAACACACGTGTGTGGGCAGGCGTGTGTTTACCGCCATATTTTATCTTCTTATTTTACTAGGAAATTCCCAACAGGCGTCATCGCCTTTTTACAGGGAACCCTCAGAAAGTCTTGACGGATGGATCAGGCTGGATATCGCTCAAGACTTCCTGCATGGGCGGTCACAGTAGCACGTAGATGCGAGTTCGTCTACAGCCTAGGACCATTCACAGAAACACATGTCGGCACGTGTGCCTAACGCATACAATTATACACCTGCGAGCCATCAACAACTACAGGCAGACCTAGCTTAACCAACGCATCCGTTTTCCGAAAAAAAAAATCCGGATAGGCGAGGGAACCGGATAATCGAACACACACACACTGTATGTATGCATGGCATGTGCTGTAAACCGGTAACCAACGATTTTCTTCCGGCTGGCGAGGGATCCGGATAAAAGAGGACCGGATAAGCGAGGTCTGACTGTATTATCATACGGAGATATTTACATCTCTGTCATGTGACCAGTGCGACCATGTTAGAGAGCACACATACTCGTAGAGCAAACACACTGCCCAAAATCATGTGATCCGTTGGTCCAGGGATTTGGTTGAAGTTGGAACCCGCATCATTTCTGCAATAATTATTGCTACGGCTGCGGAACAGCTCCATAGAATGGAGAATGGCATGTTCCAGGCCTTTTATCTCATGAAACCTTGCAAGCTACAGGTGCCCCACGAGTGGTGAATAGAACATTGGGGGCATATTTGCTTGTCTACACCAAAAATGAGGTCGAAGAAAAGGAGCTCAAATTCAAGCCAAGCATCCTAAACAAGTGTCTGCTTTCCATGCACAATTTCTGATAAAATGACAGGCTCACAAGTCCTTCACCATAAACCTGTATCTCCATGCAATACTGCCCAGCACTGCCGTGGAATGCCACGGATAACTGAGCCCACCCGTGTATAAGCCCATGCTCGCGCATAATCCCAGGGTTAGTTCGACCATCACAAGGCTTCATCGTACACGCCCATGGGCCTAGGTCATACCAAGAGTCCATAAATTATGGACTCTTGGCCATACCATACTACGTACATGTAGTTTTTTTCCTTTTTTGTTGTACATTTCAACACAATCATCGGTTGTTTTTGTTTGCACAGGGGTTTTCAGTAATTTACTTCTCACTTCCTTGATACTTTTCAATAGCACAAATTTGGTGTCGGCGTATAAGCCCATGCCCAGAAAAGCCCATAGGCTTATCCGCGGGATTCTACGGTATGGCATGCCGCTCTGCTAAGACAAACGGGGGCTTTTCTAGCTCTCTAAACTAAAGAATGCACTACGCACTTGACCGATGGTACAGTCACCATGTGCACAGTCTCATGCGGTTGTTATAGATCAATGTGTTCCTGAAACTCAGAAGTAGCGACAAATGAGAGCGCAGTGTGGAGAGGTGGACGGTTAAGATTGTTCCTGAAACAACAGTTCTTACGTACCTGTGAGAAAGGCGGAATGCTCTGCACCAGCAGCGATCTGAGCGACCTTGTAGCCCTCGTCCCACCGTGGCATACGAACCATCCGTGGTGTGCTGCGTGACTTCACAGAGAGAAGGTGGGGTGGTGGTGGTGGTGGTGGTGGTGGGAGGGGGGGGGGGGGGGTGAGAGCAAAGGAACATTGCGTTAGCAGCGAGTAAGGCAAGCACAGTAGAGCTTGTCCTGAATGACCACTGAGAAGTATGGAAGCCTGGAAATTTCGCCTATCGCTTGGAGGTGCATTGAAGCTACAACTTTACACACTTCACAACCTCCAGAATGAGAACACCTGGACCATGGGGAGAATGCGAGACGGGTAAAGCATGTTGGGCATGGATGCGTTGTGTTTGGATGCACACTTTGTTTCACCTTCTTGTGTGAATGAATTATGACGTACTCATCAAAACTGTTCTCCGGCAGCCGATTGCAACCCCTAAACTGGCAATATTGACATGTACAACTGATATGCAGCCTTATGACTGAGTTAATTTCGGCCTAGAACTCCAGTTGAACGACTTCACCAACAGCACTGATGCATATTGTGATAATTATAGTATAAGATGACAGGACAACAATTCAGGCCCGGAGCCAGCTCCTATGGGGTGGACGGCCGCAGATTGGCTACAGGCCTGATCATTTCCCTGTGTCAAATTCCAATACACTGCATCATAGAAGGATTCATCTCCATTGCATGAGAACTGGAATTGGCAAAAACTGGCACGGTCATGGTTGTACCCACCGTACCAGTGGCCCCGGCACTGAGCATCCTTACCTTTCCGTCGCCAGTGCCCAGCTGATGTGCGCTATTGTCTCCACAGGCATATATCTGGTTAGTAACTACGAGCGGACACAGCGCAGATACACATTCACATTCACATACCAATGCATTGGTGATTCCAATGACATGCACACACGTGCACGTGCACACACACACGTGCACGTGCACACACACACGCATGCACATGCGTTGAATTGTACACACCAATTCACTGGTTCACCGAGGAGTAAAACAATGCGTTTCGACCGCAAGGTCTAGGGATTGAAACGGGGAAATGTCTGGAGACGAAACGGAGGCCAAACGCAACTGAGGGGAGCATACTTAGCAGTGAGTTTCTGTTTAAACACCAGCCCATATGGAATAGCAGTACACCATCCTTCTTCTTTTTTGTTGTGGAGTTTGCAGACAATTAGAAAAGGCCACCCTTCTTTATTAAAAAAAAAAGGAAAGAGAAAGAAAACCACCAGGTGCTGCTGCATGGACTTCACTTGCTACCAATGACAACCATCAGAACTATCAACAGCAGGTTCTGATTTAGCACTTCAGGTTTGTATTTGTATTAGTAATAAATTTAATTCAACATTTTCCTGGCTCAGTCATCAAACGACTGCCAATGTCAAATGAATGTGAAATGAAGGGTGCTAGCCAACCACGGCCAATATCCGAAACAGAAAAAAAAGTAAAAGGCATGAAGGAATCAAGATTTTTCCTGTCTCTAAGAAGATTGAATGGACGTCGAGATCTGTTGTTATCCAAACAGCACCATCAGCTCACCTCCTCTCAGCACAAGGGTGTGATTCTTTCCACAGACAACTTGGGTTGCTTTCCGCCATGCTCCAAACCCTAAGTTACGAAGACAAACACAACAGGTCATGGATGATGTTTTTATTTATTTTTTACTAGAGCCACGTAAACCCGTCATGTGTGAGCCATGAATAAGGGGAGTGGTGGCGTGGTCTGGGATGCTCTGCCGACCTTGGGTCCCGGCTTCATCACAACCAGGCGCGCTACTTGGTTGATGCTACTTGTAGATACGCGCGGATAGAGCAACACCAGCGAACATTTCACATCTACATTTTCACTTCTTTCTCTTCTACTAAAACCTTGCCATGGTTACTGTCCATTAACCTTGCGATGGGAGACACAACTAAAAAAAAAGATGATGATGACGACTACAGCGACGGCAACAACAAAAGCAACAACAGCAACAACAGCAGCAGCAGCAGCGCCAGCAGCACCAGCAGCAACAACAACAACAACAACAACAACAACAACAACAACAACAACAACAACAACAACAACAACAACAACAACAACAACAGCAGCAGCAGCAGCAGCAGCACCAACACCAACAACAACAACAACAACAACAACAACAACAACAACAACAACAACAACAACAACCGCACTAATGGCCATTGCAGGCAGCTACATTGA